ATAATACGAGAATGCATTCATTATTTCTATTTAAAGTTTGAGTCGTGCACTGCTGTTTCCGGTGTGATCTGAAGCACTTTGGGGCCACCGGTGGTTAATGTCGGGCAGGTTTCGATGCTCGTCATTCATGGGTCACCAGATCGATGGGGCGGCAGGGCCGGAGGCAGGCGTGCGCCTGGAAGAAGCTGGCGGCTCGCCCCGATGGCCTGGCCTGCTGTGCGCAGATGCGTTACCCTGCGACTCTCTTGTGAAGAGTCACAGTACATCTGGCTGTTGAAATCCAGTTCAAGGTGACCTTTCCTGGTGGTCCCATCTCCTTCAGGTGGAGCAGGAGCAATCCAGGCTCTGACCCGGCACCGGGATCGGAGAGAAAGCAGATCTGCAGATGCGTGCGCTGGGGGCTCGGGCCACTGGGAGGCTTTAGGGAAGTGACACGTCAATGGGGCCTTGGAGGAGGAACAGAAATACAGGGAAACCAAGCCGCGCTCGCCTTCCCTGCACATCCAAGCGAGCCCAGTCCTTTGATGGCGCTTTGTCATCAAAACCGTCATCATTCCCTGGGTACTTGCAGTCTGCCAAGGGCAATGCTGCCAACCCTGCAGCCCCGTCAGGGCAGGGGGTGTGCCCCCCTTCCCAGACAGGCACCGAGTAGGGCGCCCGCCGCTCTGATCGGTGCAGATCCCCCACTTCCGCCTGCACCTCCCCGCGCCCCCTGCTGGGTGACGCCCCTCCTTCTCACAAGGGTCTTTGCTGGCTGCACGTGAGCCCCTCGGTCCTGGGCAGACCAGGGCCGTCTCCAGCGTCACCCTTCTGGTATGCGTGACCCTCTCCCACCCCACGCGGGCCCAGGCCGCACTGTCGCCCATCAGGCTCTCGGAGGCCGGCGGCCTGCCCAGCTCTCGTCCTGCCCTCGGCACCTGGAGCGCATCCCTCACGTCCCGGGCCGTCCCGACTGCGGGCGGACACCAGGGTGTCTCAGTGCGTGTGCCCTCCCGGCACGGCGCCCACACTCAGCACCCTGCACATCTGTATGCGCGGCACTGACTCCCGCAGGGCGTGGAAGGACGCTGCTCTGCCCTGGGCCTGAGCGAGGACCGGAACCGGCCGTCGTCCCGGTGTGGCCGAGGGGGTGCGGCGGAGGGAGAGAGCCGTGTCCCTGGTAGGAGCCCGGGCACACGGCGGGCGGAGAGGCGCCTCCCTCCAGGCCCTGACAGGTTGGCGCAGGGGCCACCCTTTCTACCCAAGTTAGAACCTAAGTCAGTGAGGTCAAAACCACATCCCACATGGACCGAGGACGGGCCGAGAAATGTAAATGCTTTAAATGAAAATGGAATTTTGTCAAGATTTTCATTTCAGAAGAGCTAGCATTCAGTTTTACAAACTCTGAATCAGCCATGGCCGGTTTGGCTCAGCGGTTAGAGCATCGGCCTGCGGTCCAGAGACCCGGGTTTGGTTCCCACTAAGGGCACGGACCTCGGTTGCAGTGTGTCCCCGGCCCTGGTCAGTTGTGCAGGTGGCAGCCACTCGATGTGTCCCTTTCACATCGATGTTTCTCTCTCTCTCTCTTCCTCTCTCTCCCTCCCGCTCTACCTGAACAAAAAATGGAAAAATGTCCTCGGGTGAGGATTAAATAAATAAACAAAGTCTGAATCATTTAAAAGCAAGATTAAGACCTATATCCAAGAGTTTGGCAAAATGGGCTTGGCAATGATGTTTGAAAACGAAACATTTATGGAAAAAAATCTAAAGATTGCACCAATTGCCGAAAACAAGAAACTCGAGAGTCAGCAGCGGCCACTGCAGAAGGGCGAGCGGACGCCGCCACCTGGAGCGCCCGGCTGCTCCTTCCCGCCAGCCTGCGCACAGCAGGACGCGGGGCCCCTCCTGCCCTCCGCCCCTCCTGTCCCCTCTGCGCTGCAGTCTCGGGCGGCGGGTTCTCATCCCTGAAGGTGGGGGTCTGCAGGTCCCCCACTGCCGACCTGGCGCTGGGCAATAAGGTTCCTTTCGCACCAGGGCAGAAACTCTGTGTCCAAAACCACTTCCTCCTCGCGCCGCAGTAACCGCCTCACTTCCAGCACCGTAGACTGCCCAGCCCCAACCTTGGCATCGTCCCGTCCCAAGGACACATCTGGCCCAGGCCTCGTCCTCCGTCCAGCTCGGCGCCAGGAGCCCTCGAACTGAGCACGCTCTTGTCGCGGCCGCCGGCCTGTCTCCACCCTGCGGAGCTCCTGAGTGACTGTGCATGGCTCAGCGCTCTGTCTCCACCGTGGTCATTTTGTTCGCTGTCTTTGAGGTAACTTACCAATATGTCTTTTTTGGGTTGCCTTTCAGCCCTTCTACAGGGTGGCTTAGCCCAAAGCTCTTCCATCAGAATCATTCTGATGTTGCTCTGTCCAGAGCCTCTTCCTGGGACAGCCACCTCCCGTCTGGAGCAGCGAGGACGTCTTGTTGTGTGTTTCGCTCTGGGTCCCGCGTTCTCCGAGATGCTGCCCAGCTCGGCCTCTGTGACACGCTGCTCGTGTTCCCGAGGGACAGGGCTGCTTTGCTCTGGAAGCTGCGTGGACGGCTCAGAATGGAGCTGCCCTGGTTTGCACCACGCTGCTTCCCAAAGGTGCCCTTCCTGGAAGAGGCTGGCAGCGCAGACCACACGAGGGCCGGGCGCGGTGTGCACGGGCAGGCCACAGGTGGGCCCCAGGAGCCCAGCGCCTGACCAGGTCTGTGTTCGGCTCAGCAGCCCTTCTTGCTGCCCTCTTTCCTTGTCCAGACGGGCGCAGTCCAGCCCCGAGTCCCACTCTGCGTGTCCTGCGCCAGCAGCCACACCGAGCCACGGGCAGGACAACTGTCCCCTTCCATCGAGGGCAATGTGACAACTTGTCGCGGTGAGTGGAGGGGCAGCAGGGACCTCTACTGAACCGGGAGCCCACTCCTCCGGTTAGGGTGAGAATGGCTGCCCCCTCAAAACCCTGTAGCACTGTCCTGGGGAGGCAGCTGCCCAGCCAGAAGGGCACTTCCCAGGCCCTGCCAGCACTGGCCCGCAGAGCAGACTGCGGCGTGCGCCCAGCCCCGGGAACACGGGGTTCAGAGAGCCCCGCGCTGCGGGCTCCCGGACGAGAACAGCCCACTCAGCCGTGATGACGGGGAAACACACAGGCAGACGGGGCCCAGGAGCCAGCTGGGAAGGAGCACCCCCAGGCTGGGCCGTCTGAGCAGCTGGAAACAAGCCAGCCTGGCCCAGTTCTGGGGGCCAGCGAGCAGACAGGCCTGGGGGCGGTGCTGGGCTGCAGCTGGATTTAGGAGGAGGGGCCAAGAGAGACGGGCGTGGCCACCGCTGAGGCTTGGTCAGTCACATACTACAAAATGTAGAAGGTTCACGCTTTTTATTCACTCGTGGTTATCACCAATAAAACGAGACCTAACGTTTGATAAACTCCACTGTATGTATCTGATAGGCTACTATTTCAATGCATATTTAACAAAAAACACTACCCACACGCAAACCCTGTCTAATCGATGAGCACCCAGGGAACGAGACTCTTCAGCTGAACTGTGCGCTGCTGACGACCCAGACGCACGCAGGGCTGAGGAGGAGGGTTGGCATCTTCCCCCCGCCCTCCCAGGTATTACCAAGGGTCAGGTTCTCTGGGTGACAGAAAAAGGACAATTTCAGATACTGCTGTTCAAGTTGTTCACAAGTTAAAAGCCATCTCCTACTGCCCTTTCATTTCAGAGACCCAGCTCCTCTCAAGCAACGTATCAGATCACACGGCGGCCAGACTCCAGAGGACAGACACGCAGGGCCGCACACGGCGAGTCAGAGGCACCGAGACGGGCGCTGACAGCACACGGACCGCGTTGGGACCGCGCTCAGCGACCGGCTCGGCTCCATGCCCCACACGGAGGCAGGACGGGGCGTCCCAGCTGCCCGGCCCATGTGCTGTCCCACTTCCTCCAGGTGTTTATGGCTCAGTTTCACTTAATTTTACAGATTCGGATTCTAATGTCACGTAACCTCAATCCTCCCGTCACGGGAGGATTGAGGTTACGTCATGTCGAAGCTCACGTGAGCTGGAACACGGGCTCGCACCAGCCATCGAGGGGGCTCACTCCCAAGACCAATAAACCAACTCCTCCTTTTATTAAAGGCGACTTTGACAACCAGCCATAATTTAGCTGAAATGAAGTCATTTCCCAGCAAGCACAGCTCCCCCGCCCCACACGAGCAGGCCCCTTGCTCCCTGCCCTGCAGCGCGGTCCAGGGCGGCACCTGAGCACAGCAGCGCCCGCTGCTCACTACCAAGGGCTACGACGAAACCCAGCAGACAGCTTGTCGACCTGGGTGTGGCTCGGCCACGGGCACAGTCCAACATGGATGATGAGATCAGCTCGCTGAGATGGGAGCACTGCTTCGTGGTTTCGGATGCGCCTGGAGTTCAGTGTCGAGACCATCACAGACAGCACGTCAGCTCAGAGGCCTGGACAGAGCTGCTCACGTGGACAGGCCAACGGCCCCAACGCCGTCTGTCACAACCGCACCGATTAAAACCACAACCACCTCTGGGTTTCTTTAAAAACGAGCAAAAGCGCCCAGCCGGTGTGGCTCAGTGGTTGAGCGTCGACCCTGCACCCGGTCAGGGCACATGCCCAGGTTGTGGGCCTGATCCCCAGTGGGGGGCGTGCAGGAGGCGGCCAGTCGATATTCTCTCTCATCCATGTTTCTTTCCATCTGTCTCCCTCTCCCTTCCTCTCTCTAAAATCAATAAAGAAAGAAAAAAAACAAACGAGCAAAACGTAGCAGCACACACGAGATTCCCGCGCTCCCCTGAACGGTGCGGCGGACCTCCCACTGGAAGGAGCGCCACGCGAAGCTGACACCCCGTCTCACCCCAGGCCGGGCCTCGGCCGACCCCCACGCCGGGCTCTCAGTGGCTGAGCCACACGCACGCGAGCTGCGGGCCCTGCAGTGCGGCCGCCTTCCCTCTGCTCCCCACGCTGCGCTCTTCCTGGGCTGACCCCGTGTCGTGGATCTGAGCGCAATGAATCTCCACAACTAAATTAAGACTTAAATCTCCCCCGCATGGGCTCAGACAGGAAGGATCTGGTTTAGTATAATGAAAAGTTAACTTGTAGAAACATCTGCAGTCTTTGTGAAACAGGCACCAGCAGAGAGCGGACGTCCCAGCGAGTGATTGTCTGACAGCGCGGACTGGCCGGCGTCCTCGGGCCTTCGGGGATGGCGGTACCTCCTTCTCTCAGCTGTATGCGACGTCCTCCAGGTAATCTGCAACGTCACTGAGCTGGGACACCGTCAGGTCCTGGGTCAGGTCATCCAGCTTGTGCACAACAAAGAAAAGACGAGCATCAGAATGCAAGCAGTCTCAACTACCTGAAGGGGACCGCTGTGGTCTGAGCGTGACCGACCCCGCCGGCTGCTCCACTCCAGCCCCCGCCTCGCCTCCTTGCCCGCTGCACACCTGTGAGCGCACAGCGGGCAAGCGGACGGTGAGCTTGGCACTGCAAGCACAGCTGAGGGCAGAGGGAGGGTGAGGACGTGAGCCCGGAGCTGCCACTCAGACTGTGCTGTTCTCACTGCAGACGCTGCCGCCCTGCGAGCCCCTCGCTCCCCGTCACCATCCCTCCAAGGTCACGAGCATCAGAGCGCGTGCTCGTCACGGCGGCAGCCCCACTGAAAGGCAGGCCCCCAGCCGGGCACGGCGCTCTGCTGTGCCCCTCAGCGGAGCTCCAGCACGCGCAGGATCACACGCACCACCTCCACAATCACCTCCCTGAACACAACTTCTTCCTGCACCGACTGTCGACACCCGAGTAGCCAATCCGGATCGAGTCCTGACCCAGCAGGGATGCCCAGGAACAATGCTCAGACACCCCAGACACACCTGGTCCGTTCCGGAGTAAGTGGCAATAAAAACAATCTCATGTCCTCAATAAGGATGTGAACCTGGTAATTCTGTCAAACTCTTCACCATTTTCAACTGTTTTTCCTAATGTGTGTGAATTTCTGAAGCCTAGCAGCAAAGCGAGGCAGCAGGGGTGCCGACGCCTTACTTTGTCACTGGTGTTGGCCTCGTCCAGCTCCATGGAGAGGTCCTCCTCGATCTCCTCCCCAAGGCTCAGCTCACTCTTCTCTGAGCGGTGGCTGGTACGAAGTTCAGGGGAAAGAAAAAGAATCTGAATATAAACATTTAAAGAGTAACTACCATTTTTCAACCTTTCGAATATTTAACCCTTTAAATAAAATAACTGAAATACAAGCTGCATTAGCGTTGTGTTGTCTCCCCCGACCCTTACAATGACTCAGGAAGGCAGCAGGGACAGTCAGCCGCACGCACCAGTGTAAGGTTCACGCTGCCACCACTCCCCCCAGAAAACAAAAACGCCTGTATAATAAATCATTCTATTAAAAACTAAACACAAATTCCCAATCGGGAAAAAACATCCCTGTCCATCCTGTAGCCCCAGCCTCTGACGTGACATTCCTAATCTCACCCCTCCTCCCCACTGCACGAGCAGCCCCTGTGCGGCCTCTATGTGCGCGTGTCCCTGCACCAGAGAGAGCCTGGGGCGCCATCCCCGCGAATGTGGACAGCTCCCACCGCGGAGGGAGGGAGACGGTACTGCAGCTGCTCCCGCGCCCTGCCCCCGCTCCCACCCACAGCCCGTGCATTCGAGGCTCTCGCGCACCGACTCTGGCTGGCTCTCTCCTCCCTCGATCACCACGCACAGGGGACAAGCTCATGAACCAGCACCCACGCGGTCCTGCCACCCCGGCTGTGTCCAGAATCGCTTGGACTGGGTACTGTTGTTGTACAACTGTTTTTCTTACCTGTTAAAATCATCAGCATAGTCATCATCGTCTCCAGCCCCTGGTAAGTTTAGGAAAAGATAATGTTATTTACATAAACACACTTCAGGATTTATCTACAATTAAACACACACATTTCCTTCCAAAAACTGCATTACTGGATAATACTGGATCATTACAAAAGAAGTCTCAAAGACTAGAAATACTACCACCACCACCGACAGAAGCAAACGACAAGACACCCAGGAGACAGTGCGCCGCCCTGTCAGAGTCCCGGTGCAACAGCTTCCTCAGGCGCATGTCACCACCCGCAACAGCATCTGAAGTGAAACCGGACACCTGGCGGAATGGACACCCAGAAAAAGCACGTACCACCCCCGCCCCCGTTCCATTTCGACGCGACAGAGATCAGATCACCAGCAGCACAGGGAGAGCCGGAGCGGGAGTGGCCTCGGGAGACAAGCTGGCTCGCGTGGGACCCGGCCCTGAGCCGTGACCTGGGAGCTGGTGGTGTCCCCAGCTGTCCCCTCAGCTCTAAACATGGCTGCCCACCGCAGCACAGGCTACTGCAGGGCCGTGCCTGTGCCTGCTCCCCACAGACCCGTCCCAGGAGGCACTAAGAGAGGGACACCACAGGGGAGGGCAGCTCGCTAGCCAGGCGGCCACCCTCCCGAGTCTGAAGCGGGGACAGTGCCAGCGGACCCCCGCCCGCACTCCCGCGCGAGGCAGCCCAGCTGCGAGGACCTGTGAAGCCGAGCGCAGACCCTGGCGGGGGGTCCAGCTCAGTGACGAGCAGCGGAGATGCTCCCGCGTGGACGCCCACCGGCCCTGGGGGACCAGACCACCCCGTCTACGTCCTGGCACTGCTGAGGCCGTCACGTTCCGGGTGGGCAGTCAGGCAAGGGCATCCTCTCCCGACACAACCCCCCGGTGACGTTGTTCACGTGTCAGACACGAGAGTGACTGCTGGGTCCGGAGGCCCCGCTGGACGAGGCGGCACCCGAGCTCACAGCTCCCCTCGAGTGGGGAGGGCAGTCCGCAGCTGAACAGCCCGAGGCCACGAGGGGCTGGGCAGACGCTGCCTGAGTGGGACCGGAAGAAAGTGCAGGTGCACGCACTGTGGGCGAGTGTGCTCCGCGGAGGGGAGGGGAGGGGAGCACTGCAAAGGCCCGAGGTTTGGAGAGCAGAGAGGAAGCTGGTGTGCCCAGGGCATCATGGATCTGGGCCAGGGTGGAGGGAAGACAAGAGGAGGGAGCAGAAGGGCTGGCCGAGGCCAGGTGGTCGGTAGGTCACGATCAGACTTCGGCAGCAATGCAGAGGGGGGAGGACGTGAAGGAGGACAGGCGGGTGAGGTCTGATCTCTGCTCCCACACCAACCACCGCAGAAGAAACGTGCTCGGGAGGAGAGAGAGGGGAGGAAAGCTGGTCTCTCCAGGCCCGAGAGACGGCAGCTCAGGGCTGGGGGCACGTGTGCCTGGGTCCGACGCAATGGCCTGTGCGGCTGCAGGCAAGACGGTCAGAAAATGCAGACAAGGTCACAGCCACGCCACACACAGATCACGCCGGCCGTGAGTCAGGAGTCCCTGCCACTCAGCTTGGGTGGCCTCTCGGGAAAGCACCTGCCTGCACTCACAGCCTAGGTGGCTCGCAGCCTCAGAGCATCGGGCCCAACGCGCCCACTGACACTCACCACACAGGCGCCAGTCTGCAAGTGTCAAGAGAAGCCACGGCAGCGGCCGTCACTGTCCCGCGTGGGCTCCGAGGCAGCAGTGAGGCCGGCTGGCAGCAGGCGGGCACCGCGGCGTGGGTGCCGGGAGCCCACGGAACCCCACTTCCAGCGCGAGGGCCAATCCAAGACACAGCACTCAGGGCACGGCTGTGCCAGGCCGTCCAGTGACACACGCAACTACGGACACATGTGCGTCTGGCCCACAGGCCCAACCCAGCCGACAGCCTGCTTCTCTACAGCCCCAAGTGAAGGCGGCTCTCCCTTTCCAAGGACTGCGCAGAAACGAGACTGTGACACAGACCACATGTGGCCACGAGGCCTGAAGGACGTGCTGCTCGGCCCTTGGCACAAAGCTTGCAAGTCTGTGCCTTAACATGCGAACTCGGTAGTCTCTGAACACAGCATCTGCGAGGAGCGTTCATCCACCGACTACAGCAGTGGGGCGCTGACGCTGGGTCTGGGAGCCCTTCCCAGAGCTGAGCTCAGGCCCCTGAGATGTACTGAACGACGTCCCGGCAGTGTGCAGGCGTCCTGGCTCTGCCGCACTCAAGTGGCCGTGGTCTCAGGAACCCCCCGCACGAGGTTCTTCCCCTGGAAGGTGGAGGTGATGACAAAACCTACTCACAGGGTGGGAATTTCAGTAAGACGATTTCTGACCACAGCCCCAGCAATATCACCAGCAACATTACTATCCTAGGCTACACCACTAATATTCATGTTATTGAAACACCAAAAGTAATGCATGGCTTACAGTGAAAATAGAAACAAACAGAAAACAACAATGTTGCAATACCACTAAACAGAACTGAATACAACGCTTATTTCTGTTGAATCCGCTAAGTGTCACCTGCGTAGCTGCCCCAACGCCCTGCCCCAGGCCCGCCTGGTGCCAGCAGAGCGCAGTGGCACGGGCCCCTCTCCTCCGCCAGCACCTTCCCAGCGGCAGAGCGCCCCTCACCGAGGGCAGGGTGGGTGCTCGGCTCCCCCTCAGACGGAGGGGACAGAGAACAGTGAGCACTGCACAGATGAGACACACCCACCAGCATGCACCAAGGCGGGCAGCTCAGGAGGGGAGGCTAGGGCAGGTCTGCAGGGTGGCCCTCCACGGGGTAAGTCCCGGGGCCAGCCGTTCCATCAGGCCGTGGAAGAGAATGTCCACCTGAGAACACGACCACGCCTCAGGAAAGAGAATGAGCAGGAGGAAGCAGCCCCCTGGCGGCCAGCCTGCGACCGGCGGCCAAGCGTTACCAGGGGGCGGTCCCCGTGGGACGGAGAAGCCCAGGAAACATCTGTTCCGCTGCAAGTGGCTGAGAACAGGAACGAAGTGATGAGGAGGCAGCTGGTGCTGTGCTGGACGTGCCCAGATTCCACATCCGCGCTCTTCAGCGAGACAGGCGCCAGGAGCCCCCCGCAGAGGCCCAGCTGCCTCCCTGCGCACTCACACTGGGCCACCTCCCCGGGCACCTGCCCTCCACCCCGCTCCTGCCGAGCTGCTCCCAGACGCTGCAGCCTGAGCACGGGGAGCGTCTTCCCAGCCTGCCGGGCAGTGAGTCCGCAGCTCGCTGGTGGCAGCCGGCACCAGGAGGCCTCACGCTGTATGAAGCACACACTTCTCGTCCCCAGACGGGAAGGAAATGGCCAAGACGACGGCTGCACTGCCTGTGTCCTTGTGGTCAGCTACCAGGGAGGTGCCCCCACGCTCCTGTCACAGCGTCCCCAGTCTGCAGAGAAAGAGCCGAGGCCGGGCTGTGTCCACACTGAGGCCTCACTTCTGTAGGAACACAGGGCTGCTCCGGTCACTGCTGCTCCGCCTAACACAGCAGACGCAGCCGTTCCCAGCAGGACACAGCCGCCCCCCCATATGAACAGCCGTCCCCCAATATAACAGCCGCCCCCCGGCAGATGCAGCCGTCCCCCCATATGAACAGCCGTCCCCCAATATAACAGCCGCCCCCCAGCGGATGCAGCCATCCCCCAATATGAACAGCTGTTCCCAGCAGGACACAGCCGCCCCCCGCGGACGCAGCCGTCCCCCAATATAAACAGCCGCCCCCCCGCGGACGCAGCCACCCCCTCCCAGGACGCAGCCATACCCCCAGCAGACGCAGCCGTCCTCCACACCCAGTGCTGTCAAGTCTGTCTCCCCATCAGAGCGACTCCCTCGGGCCTGGACCACGAGCTCCCAGCACCCCGCGCTGTGCCGGGCCGTCCAGCAGAGGCCCCTCCTGGGAGAGGTCCTTCAGGAAGGCAGGCCTGGGCTGGCTTCAGCGGACCTGCCCCTCACCCACGCGCACGACTCCTGCCGGCAGGGACCCGGTCACCCCACCTTCCCACGGCCACCAGCGGGTCAGGCCCGCCCAGGGAGCGAGCCTGGGCACGTCAGAGCGGACACGTGCGCCAGGAAGTGCTCACGGCAGGCGGCCAGGCCAGGGCAGACGCATCGGAGAGGGGCTGCGAGCCCGCGGCCAGGAGCCGCCTAGTACCTGGTCCGAGCGAGGCAGCTCTGTCCGGCAGCGGTCGCAGGCCTCTCCGCGCGGCGTTCCCCCTCTCACCTGTGGGCGGACGACAGTCCATGGGTCAGCATCTACCACCATCTCTAAAATGTGTCGTTGTTTTTTCACGATAAGTTTTTTACAACATAAGCTTAAAAACTAAAAGAAAATGAGGAAGTGTGGCCAATGGGTGCTCACATTATGTGCTGCGCCCTTTTAAACACACACAATAGTCTGCTAGAAGCTGGCCATCAGAGCGACTGCCCCGCTGGGCGTGGCTGCACGGACTGCAGTCCTTCTCAGTCCTGTTCCTGTCCTCTGACCTCTGCATTCTGCATCGATTCCGTCACCTTCCCTCTAGCAAGCTGAGTGCCTCTCACTGGTCTTATTTCTTCAGCCCTTACTTTTCAATGTCCTCTCTGAACCTTCGGTCTCTAATCAGCGTTAAGAGTGACCTCATCATGACCTCCTGGACGCCTTTACTGAAGGTGACATGACCACGGCAAAGAAGAGGACAGGGACGTGGGCCACAGGCACAGATCCGTGGCCAGGTGACCAGATGGCGAAGAGAAGCCACGAACCACCTGTGTGTCCTGGGACACGCTGTAGTTGTATCACGTAATCAAAATTGAGCAAAATCACAGTCATTTCCTAACAAAGAGCTAATCTACTTGCTGAAACTTTCTCGGAAGAGGCCCCTCATGCTCAGCGATGTGCTGAGCAGCCCTGTCTACTAGGCACAGCGTCCACGCCCGCTCCCAGCTGCCTGTGCTCAGCCGGGAGCCGTGGCCGGGTGGGCGGGCAGGAAGGAAGTGTGGCACCGTGTCACTTCTCGTGCGGCTGGCAGTGCCCACCTCTGCGGCAGAGAAAGACACGCCAGGTCCAGATCCCTCTCACACGCTGTGATCATCACTGTGGCATCACATCCTACACACAGAACTTTGATGATTAACTGAACTGGACCCTACTCGAGTCAATGTAAACATCCAGGAGAGAGGGTTTAAAAACTATAATGTATCTATGCACATATGAGCGACAGCTAAAAAGTCTACTTCCTAATAGTATTTTGATGGCATAAGAAAAACAGAATACAAACCATATTTTTAAAAAATAAAAACAGAACACAATATTATAGAAAATACCTCTGAATGGTAAAATTATGAACTATTTTTACGATTTTCCACACATTTTCTGGGGAAATAAGCAACGACCATGTGCTACTTAATGAGCAGAGAGCAGCCAGTCTTCAGAGCACACCTGCAGCCCGGCACTCACTTTCCGCGTCTTTCAGCGAGGGGGCTCCGGGAAGGGAGCCGAGTCCACTCTGGAGGGGGGGCGCGTCAGAGAGCGATGCCAGGCTTCCTCCTTGCTTACCAGGGTCACTTCTCCTAACAAGAAACAGGTGCAGTTAGACGGCGCTCCCGCCTGCTGCACGGACAGAAGAGCTGGGGCAGCCCTCCCGAGGGAGAAAACACCAGGAGTCAAGAGCACCAACGGCGTCCGCTCACCCCTCCCCACAGCCCCGCTCGGCCTCTAACTGCTCTTCCTCATCTCCGCTGCCTCTGGTCTATCAGAAGCCCTCTGCTGCCCAGAAACGCAGGCAAGGGACACAGCACAGGGGCTGCAGTCCCCCACCACTCCACCCACCCTCCCGCCACCCCACCCACGCCCATCCTTCGGCAAAGACGAGCCGGGCCCTGCCGCCAGCCTGGGCACTCCAGTGCAGCTCCCCTGTACCCTCATCCTCACGTCACTAACTGTCCTCTTTAAGGCCGGGCTGTTCTCAGGCTGTTCTCATCCACACACACATGCTGTTATTTTTTCCCACAGGAATGGTTCTCGACCTCAGCCCCTTCCCTCCAGCCCCCACCCCATTCCTCTGCTCCCTTTACAATAAAACTCATCAGAAAAGCATTCACCATCTACAACCCCCTCCTCGTGTTCTTTCTGGAACCCACTCGAACCCTTTAGCGCTGCCTCCAGTGCCACCATCCCCCTAACCAGCCGGCAGGGTCAGCGGCCACCAGTGGCCAAGCGCAGTGGCTCATCATCAGAGCTGACCCCCACTGCTCGCCCAGGCCCCCTTCTCCAGGCTCTCCAGTCCCCTTGCCCGCTCCCTGCCCTCACCCGGCTGCCCTCGAGGTGCCCAGTGCCCACTGCCTTGGTGCCCTCCTGCAGTCTCCCAGCTTCAACATTACCTAAACTGCCAAGTCCCTCGTGTGCACACAGCCCAGACCCGCCCTGAGCTCACCCTCTCCGTAACCGGCTTCTCAGCCCGAACCCCGAACAACGCGACCCCGAGCTCCCCGTGTGACCTGCCCTGCTCTCCACTCCTCTAAGCACGGCCTTCAGCCTTCGAGGTGCTCAGCCTGAAACCCAGGAGCCTCCCTGGGGACCCCTGCTTTCTCGAGCCCCCAGAACACATCCTGACGCCCTCCCTGAGAGCGCAGCGCCGTCCCGTCCTGGGACGACCTGGCAGCTCTGCCCCGGAGCCCTGCGCAGGCCTGGGTGCCAGCAGCCGCGACCCAGAGACAGAGCCTGTGGGCCCGGCCACTCTGCTGCTCAGACCCCGCCCTCTTCAGGGGCCCGCTGCCCACACCGCTGCGCCCCCGACCGCGGCCCGCGCAGGGCAGGGCTGTGCCTGCAGCCCCGGGCCCTGCAGCTCGCACGGCCGCCGCACCCGGGGGTGCCCCGTGCACACCTGTGCCGGGGGCCGGGGACGTCAGGTGTCCCGAACGGCACCGCAACACGCAAGGCTTCGGGGACACAGCCGGCTGAGGTCCAGAAGCACGGCCTTGAGCACACTCTGCTTCAGAGCAGACAGAACGTGCGGCAGTTATATTCCCAAGTCTTATCCAGACAACCCAGGAGCAGCCGACTCACCAACCGTAGGTCTTTTCGGGCTTAGGAATGGGGTCGTCGAAGAAGGAATCTCCGTCCATGTCGTCTTCGTGGGGGCCCAGGTCCGCTCTGGCTTCCTCACCTGGGCTTTGGCTGCTTAAGAAAGATCCAAGTTTTGTTTCATGGGCCAGTAAGTGAAGACTACTTTTGCTTTTTGGCTCTGATGCGGGGATGCTGGTGTCGCTCTGACTAGCGTCACTGCTGGCCTTCTGCAAAGAGACAGGGAAAGAGACAAGGTCTCCTTGGTGAGATGAAACTTTAATAAATAAAAAGCCGTGAACATATGCAATCTCTGTGTATGAGTGTGTGAGCCCGTGTGTGCGTGGGGGGTAGTCTTGCAACTAAGTGCATGAGGCCCAGAGTAACTACAGCTTCTCCTGCACCCCAGGCTCAGGGCGCCGCTCTCGTCTGAGGGAGCGCTCCCCCTCCACTCCCCAAACGGCGCCCCTGCTGCCCCTGCTCCACTCAGATGGCTGGCCACCTGCTCCCGCTTCGTGAACCACACTGACGTTCTCAAGCTGAGACAAGGAGGCAGTACTGGTGAAGCACAGAAGGAAGACTAGTTCACGTAAACAGACCAAGTGTCACAACAGAGTGAAAACAGCACCTTCCCACCAGTGACAGACACACAGCCAGCACCAAGGGAGAGACACCGCCTCCACCCTCCATGCTCCGATGCCAGCGTCTGCCACCAGGCCAGCCCTGCCTGGATCCAGACCTCGGGGGGCTCCCTAACCCACACCTCCCCGAACGTCCATGGACACGAGCCCATGTCCCTCGCACGTACCTCCTTGTTCTCGGTTAGCCCAGACCCCACGACCTAACTGACTCTGTCCTACCCTTCGTCGACCTCTTTTTGCCCTCAGACACGCCGGGGTCCACTAAAACAAAAACACCACCACAAACACAGTATCAAGATAGCAGATACGGAAAAACAGGTGCACAGACAGTTCAGCCACTTGGCAAGGTCGCCGTGGAGTGAAGGGCCAGGTCGACATGCACATCTGACCCAGGGCAGCCTGGGGCATGCGTGTCACACTCAGGCTGGGTCCCATGAGACTGGTGAGCGGACGACGCTCTCCCCGCCAAGCTCGTCGGCCAGGGCAACGCTAGTGTTACCAAGGCATTTGTAACAGAGCTGTCACCCCCTGCAGCGGCCCTCAGCCTTGGTTAATTCCCTCGGGGGTCTCGTGGAGAATCACAGCAAAACTGTGAGAAGTTCTAGTGGGATCTAAGTCCCTGTCCTGCACTCACACATGCGGGATTTCAGTCACTGCTGGGCTGACGAGAATTAGCCTCAGAGAGAGGGTTCACAGTGAGAATAATTACTAAGAGAAGTTCTGATGGGATCCAAGTCCCTGTCCTGCATTCACACATGCGGGATTTCAGTCACTGCTGGGCTGACGAGAATTAGCCTCAGAGAGAGGGTTCACAGTGAGAATAATTACTAAGCTTCCAGTAGCCAAAAACTTGAATTATCACTACACTGTCTTAATGAAACTAGAAAAAAATCGTTTTTCCACACGAAAGGCTTAATCTGAACTTCTCTTAATAAAGAAACATCAAACCAGAGAGTTTTCCAAGTTTTCAAAAATTCACAAAAATGCTCTTCCTGCCCACGCCTTACCCCTCCCCACAGCTCCCTTCCCCAAACCCACTGAAGGGAGTTTCTGGCCCAAGACGTACTAACAAATTTAGAAAAGTCATTTTACTACAGCTGTCACGTACACACCCCCCCCTAAAAGTCTGATCCATTCACCTAGCAGGCACACTGCAGGATGCTAGAATCACAACAATGTAAACGCCTCTCTAAACACTCAGTTTCCGGACAGCATCTCTGCTCCTGAGCTCCACGCGCACCGTGACTCCGACAGGCGTCTGCAGCCAGCCTGAACGTGCCCCGCACAGCTGCTCCCTCTCAGGAGCACCTCGCCCGGCCAGCTGCTCGGGGCCCAGCGACAAGGAGAGCCGAGGTGTCGCGTCTCGGGCCTGAAGCAGCCAGGACTGTACGGCTGGCCAGGCAGACCCGTGAGGGCTGCGTGCCGGGCATGCTGCTCACTGTGTGTTCATGCGTTCAGGATGGGAAGTGTGTGTGCGCGCACATCTGTTCATGCATTCAGGATGTGTGTGTGTGTGTGTGCATCTCTTCATGTATTCAGGATATGTGTGTGTGTGTTCATGCATTCAGGATGGGGGTGTGTGTGTGTGTTCATGCATTCAGGATGGGTGTGTGTGTGTTCATGCATTCAGGATGGGTGTGTGTGTGTGTGTTCATGCATTCAGGATGGGGGTGTGTGTGTGTTCATGCATTCAGGATGGGGGTGTGTGTGTGTTCATGCATTCAGGATGGGTGTGTGTTCATGCATTCAGGATGGGGGTGTGTGTGTTCATGCATTCAGGATGGGGGTGTGTGTGTGTTCATGCATTCAGGATGGGGGTGTGTGTGTGTTCATGCATTCAGGATGGGGGTGTGTGTGTGTTCATGCATTCAGGATGGGGGTGTGTGTGTTCATGCATTCAGGATGGGTGTGTGTTCATGCATTCAGGATGGGGGTGTGTGTGTTCATGCATTCAGGATGGGGGTGTGTGTGTGTTCATGCATTCAGGATGGGTGTGTGTGTTCATGCATTCAGGATGGGTGTGTGTGTGTGCGCACATCTGTTCATGCATTCAGGATGTGTGTGTTCATGCATTCAGGATGGGTGTGTGTGTGTTCATGCATTCAGCATGGGGGTGTGTGTGTGTGTTCATGTATTCAGAATGGGTGTGTGTTCATGCATTCAGGATGGGGGTATGTGTGTGTTCATGCATTCAGGATGGGGGTGTGTGTGTGTGTGTGTTCATGCACTCAGGATAGGTGTGTGTGTGTCTGAAGGGAATAATGCTCGGTTTATCCAGAAACCGAGGTGTCCATGAAAGACATGCAAATATCCCCAAATATACAATGTGATCCCCATCTCTGCCCTACATCAAAATGAAACTGGGCTTATCCCAGAATTCTGAAAAAAGAAGCGACGATTTAAGAAATGGTCCTTTTTAAAGAAATTGAAGCAAAAAATACCTCAGTACACACTAGTCTTAAAACACCTGCAAACTGATTAGACAAAAGCTGACCTGCATTACGTTCACTGTGATGACAGAAAGCTCCTCAGTCTCATGTCTCACTCAGCTCCCCGGGCCGTGGTGAAGCCAGTCAGCGGGGCCTGCCAGTGTGCTGTCGCCCCTGACTCTCCTTCTCAGACAGCGGCCACAGACGGCTCACATGCAGCAGAAGACACTTCGGAAGTGTTAACAGCTATTTTAAAATGTGACCTCGTTAGAAATGCCCTCCCTTCTACCAGCTATCCACCTAGCCTCCCAACTTCTCCATCCTTCTCTTACCGACTGACAATACTAAAACCCAGAAATATAACTTTTATTTTACCCAAGTTAAAGTAGTTCAAAAACCTTAGCTTTTTGCTTTGCATTTTGACAGGTTCATAAAACTACAAATCAGTTTTATATACACATGAGTGATTTTTAAAAGTTCATTTGTAATATGACTAGAGCGTTCCTGAAAACAGCCAAGGGTCTCTGAACAAGCCATTGATACAGAGGCCTTCGGCATACAAAGTAAGCCACACAGGGGCCACACAGGGTCCTGCACCACAGGCTGGCTCGCCCAGAAGCAGGGCTACCTTCAGGGCTTGGCCCAGCTGGGAAAAGAGACATGGGAATGGCGCCCCCTGGAGCCCTGCTGTGTCCACCCTCCAAGGGGACTATTAAGATGTCAGGGATGGCAGGGACCAAGGACACTGGGACCTATGGCAAGCACAAGGCAAAGCGGAGAGGCAGAGGGATGAAGAACTAGGGGCTCAACTGTGAGTTGGAAACAGACAGTGCTGGGCACAACAGATAATTCTGCAACAAGGTCAGGGAAGCAGAGGAAACAAGTTTCAAAGTGACTGCGGAAGTATAGGGGCCCCACAGCCTCTCAGTCACCCTCAGGCCCCCAAGCCCAAGGGCCGCCTGAGGAGGAGCCGGGGCCGGCACCAAGGGAAAGGGTCCCAGGCCTGTTTCTGCACATCCATTTCTTCAAGACGCGTGAGCCGCTTTAAAACCCAAGACCCAACAGGTCACACACAGTCAGTGCTGTGAAACATGCTCCTGGTTTTGTATAAAAGTCCAAGAAACTGAGTAAAAGCATCTATAAAAAGCATGCTGTTCTATATCTTCAATTATCTTTCTTTTTTTTTTTTTTGTTCAGGTAGAGTGGGAGGAAGAGAAAGGAACAGAGAAAGAGAGGAAGGGAGAGAGAGAGAAACATCGACATGAAAGGGACACATCGAGTGGCTGCCACCTGCACAACCAACCAGGGCCGGGGACAAACTGCAACCGAGGTACGTGCCCTTAGCGGGAACCGAACCCGGGTCTCTCTGAACCGCAGGCCGACACTCTAATCGTTGAGCCAAACCGGCCAGGGCTTCAATTATCTTTCTTAAGGTACGTCTCCCCTCCCCAATTAGGCTGTAAACTACCAAGGGAGGATGTATTAAATGTCTTGCCCAGAGCTCTCAACACGTGACTTTCTCTAGGTAAATGTTCAAACATACTTGCTAAGTAACGTTTTAAAACATTTCACCCGGCCGGTGTGGCTCAGTGGCTGAGTGTCGACCCTGCACCAAGAGGTCACCGGTTCGCTTCCCGGTCAGGACACATGCCCAGGTGTGGGCCTGATCCCCAGTGGGGGCCATGAAGGAGGCGGCCAATCCATCAAAGTTCTCTGTCATCAAAGTTTCTAACTCTCCCTCTCACTTCCTCTCTCTCTAACATCAATAAAGAAAGAAAACAAAACTTTTGATAAAAAAGTAAATAAGACACGTCCTATGGTAAGGCAGAGTGAGAACAAACACCATAACAGGGATTTTCCACGGGAAGCAACAGGCCTAGAGCCAGCACCCGGCAAAGCCTCCGGGTCCAGCCGCCCCGTGGTCTGTGGCAGGGGCCTCAGGAGCTGCAGGTGAACGAGGTCATCTCGCTGTGACACGTGAGTGCGAAGGCGGAGCGCGCAGACCTCGCATGGCGGGCGAGCTGCTGTCCGCGGGCTTAGCCCCCTGTGATCTGTGGGGCGGAGCAGCGCCCCGGGGCTGCGGCAAGTCCTCCCAGCGCCCAGGGCGCAGCCAGGGCAGCGGGCTCACAGCTGCTGAGCGCAAACAGGAGGAAACAGTTTATCCTTTAATTTTCCGACTAGAACATGTCAAAAGTAGTGTGATGTTCTACTGACCTTAGATAAAACTCATGTTCAGAATATGTGCATGACCATCCATTTAAAAAATAAGTATTGTCAAACTTTTTGTTGCCAAAAAACAAGGAATCCTCAAAATAGAACTGACAGTGTAGTTTGAAATGTAAGTCGGGCCGGCGGGAGTGGCTCAGTGGCAGGCACCAGTGCGATTCCTGGGCAGGCACATGCCCGGTTTCGAGCTCGACCCCCGGGGGGTGCAGGAGCTGCGGAGAGATGCTGCTCTTCCACACTGATGTTTCTCTCTCTCCCCTTCCTCTCTCTCTAAAATAAAAAATCAATTAAAAATATTTTTTTTAAAGTCTTAAAAATATACATATAACAGTATGATTTTCACCTGAATGAAAACTGAAAGTCAGGTCACTTCTGTTTATGCCGCCGTGACTTTACCATGTCTGAGTTCAGATAAAAGAGCAACATTTCCGAGAGGTGACCCAGGCCCAGGGGACTGCAAGGCCGGAGCCCAGGCCAGCCAACCCGCAGGCGGCTGCCCTCTGCCTCGCGCGCGCGTTACCTTGGCACCAGGCTGCTGCCCGCTGGTCGTCTTCTTACCTTGTCCTGTATACCTGGGTATCTGAGCATGAGAACAGAGCGGCATTTCACCACAGAGCAAACATCTTTGAACATAAACTAAGTCATGAACTAAAAAGAATTCCTATGACAATTTCTTAAAAATGGAGAAATCAATTAATAGGTTCCTTTTGGAAACCCAGTTTTTTGGTTTTACCTTAACTCCTTCCTCAAGGGGTTTGTCAACTTGTGTCTAAATACTCGGCCCAACAGTCACTGGTCAGTGAGGACACGGCAGCCCCGCCCGCCGTGTGGACAGCGCTCTCGTGTCCATTCCGCAGCCCCTGGGAAAGCCAGGCTGAACCCCGGAGCCCTCCCCCTCCCCCCAGGAGCACAGAGAGGTTTCCAAGGGTGACGGCACCTGTGCTTGGCCACTTCCCAGAGCCCCTCTGCTCTCCCTGGGTCCCCAGACCAGGGGGCACCTGAAGGCGCAGGCCTCCTAGAGCCCAGAAGATCTGACAGAAATAGAGAAGCTGGGGGGAGGGGGGAAAGTGCTGGGGTCCCAGAGCCCGCAGCACGACGGGAACTGTCTTCCAGCCCAGCCCCGCAGAGTGGCTCTGGTGCTTCACAGGCGGCCACTGCCACACAGGCTGTGACGGGGCTGAGGCCTGAGGGCCACTGCAAACCGTCCGAGGGCAGACACGCGTGGGGGCACCTGCAAGTCTGCTCCGTTCTCCATGGCCCTCAGAAACCGCACCACTGCTCAGGGACGTCCGGAGCAGCGATCGCAGCCGCTCACCTCACGGCACACGCTCAGTACTAAACTCTGCGGCGCACCAACGTGCTTTTTGCCAGGCTGATACAGGAACAGGTGTGGTTTGGATGCATGCACACCGGGCCACTACTGTTGGCCGCTGTCATCGCCTTATCTGACATCTGGGGAAGGGCAGCGCGCTGCCAGGCAGCAGACAGCGCTGTGACGCCTGCCGCACACGGGCCGAAAGGCTGGTTCTCAGCAGCATTTCCCGACCGACTCAGATGTCAGATTCGCATCACAGTTCTTAAAGCCTAAACACATTCACATACAGAGAGTAAGAATATATAAAACAGACATTCGTATTTTACCTTGAAGACATATCACACGTGAAAAGTCAGTATGGCTAATTTGCTTTAAAAGATAAAAAGGGAACTTCCGAGTGGCTCAGATCGCGAGGTAGGATAAGGTGTTGGAATATATGTTCATTCCAACCCCTCTGAAGCCAGACATTCTCACAGAAAGCAAAGCTTCTTACAAAGGCTTTTCTAGTGGTAATTCACGTCAAGGGACTTCTGAACTTCCTTGGACCTGGTTCTGAGCACCCCGGGAGAAGCCTCCAGGGCCCCACCTCCCCTCCAGAGCAGGTGGCAGCCCTCAGAGGAGCGTCAATAGGGCACCAGCCCCCGGCCTGAGTGTGAACAATGCATCAAACAGCAGCAGCGCCAGCCCGGCTGCGCCCAGGCCCCAGCAGCCACCGGGGCGTGCATGCACACCCTCTCCGAGTGCGCCCAATCAAGGTCTCCCCGTGTCCACCAGCTCGCACTGTGCCAGCTGCACCAGGGACCACTCCTGGACTGGTCTTGGGCAGCACCCTGCCCCCAGGGAAGGAGTCAGAGAGCCTTCGGTGACGGCAGGTCCTATCACAGCCCGCCTGCTGCAGCGAGAGCCTGAGACACTCGTCCCGACGGCCATCCTCCGCCCAGTCCGCCACTGCCCGGACGTCCCTGACGTGGACTGTAAGAGCTCCATTCGCTCACTTTCCACGACACCAAACCCCTGGAGTCAGCAGGCCTCACCTGAACCACACACACACACACACAAATACACCCAAGCACACAGACTTTCTTATAAACCTTCGAGATGCTCGTCAATGTACAAACCTCTCATGACCTACGGTTCCAAACCTGGCCAACCACCTGCACAGACGTTCGGCACATTCCAGCCCCGAACCTAACACTCTCACGTGAGGGGTCTGCAAGGAAAAGTAAGCAAACCTCCTGTCCAAGGAGAGAAACAACATCCGAAGCACACGCGTCCCACTATTCTGCAACTTTGTTACTTGACAGCACACTCCTTTCCGTGACACACAATTCAAAGAACTACCAATTAAAGCAAAATAATTAATTGTTAAAACACAGACTTCCTCCAAGGGAGAAGGCCCGTCACAGCACTGAGCGCGCTCCCGCCACAGACAGCGGACGGAACGGGGGACCCGAGAGGAGCCCGCTGGAGACGCCATCCAGCCCCCCCAGCCCCGGCCCCTCACCTTACTGGGACCCGTGTGAGTACTCAGCTTCCCTTCTGGGGACTTTGGTGGAGAATGGACATCAGCCAGATCCAGTGCACCCTGAAATGTTCAGTTTAGAATTAAAACACTTACAAATAAAACATAAATACACTAATTATACCTCAGTAGAACTTCAGCATTTAAAACCACTAAACGAGTTGGTATGTTGATTTCTTCCTAATTAATGTAAACATCCTTATTAGATTTTCCTCCAATTTTAATTTAAAAAACAGCAAAACACACTGAGTACTTACCTGCTAAGTACTTCCCTCAATCGGTCTGCATTGGGTGGGCCCCCCACCCTGGCCTACTCCCCAGGGGCTGCCCCACTGCGCAGCACCTGCGCCCCCCACCCTGGACGTCCGTCTCAGGAAACCTGAAGGGCAGCCCTCACCGCCCCCACTCCCCACTGCTCAGGGCACCGGCTCGCCCAGCCTCACCTCGTCTTTTCAAAACCCTCGGGCAAACTGAAGGACACCTTGGGGAGCAGCCAGGCCACACCTTGGGCTGGAACCAAGGAGGTGGAGGGACAGATCAACAGAAACAGTAGGAAAGAAGGAAGAGAACCAGGGGCGTTTGTCTGTGTCGCTTTCACTTTGTCAGAATGGTCACACTTTTCACATGGGGCCCAGCTTCCAGTGGGTTCGCCAGGTGGCTCTGTCGTGGGAGGAGCCTAAACTCTGGCCTCAGCCAGGGGAAGGACTGAGTGGGACTGGAGAGTCATCGGGCAGTGACGGCAGTACTGACAGCAAGCAGCTGCGCGACCGCCCCGTGCCCAGCACCATGCCCAGAGCTGCACACACGGTGTCCTCTGTGCTCACTACAACCCGCCAGGCGGACCCTTCCACCTCTTCACGGGGCGCTCCAGCACGGGGCGCTCCGGTCACCGAGGACGGCTGCGCCCAGGGCACGGCCGAGCGGGTGTGAACCTCAGCAGTCTGACCCCAGAGGCCCGGCTACTCCCGGTGCACTAAGGGAGGGAGGGCAACGGGAAAACGTGGCAACCACCACGCACGCGGCGAACCCAGACACAACTGGAAGGAAATGAAAGGAGGTGCAGAGACAAAGGTGAGGGCGACAGAGCCAGGTGCTGTCAGCACCAGCTACAGATCGCTGGCTCAGGAGACGGAACCGGCACTGTCTGGGTTCTTAGACGTGTGTTGCTTTTATTCCCTAGTGGCTAGCACAGTGCTCATCCCACTAGAAGCCCTCCACCGCCCCCCACCGCCCTCCTCCACACCCTGCCCAGTCCACTGCCCGGCTCACCCATTGAGGTTGGACTGAACAAAATTTCAGCATGAAAAATCACTGCCCCCTTTCGACTACAAAGCATCCCTCAGAATGTTTAGAACTGATCAGTCACTGGGTGATGATACTTCCTGTATCATAAACCACCGTTTAAATGGGCACTTTCTTATGAAAGTATTTTGTCTTAAACAGCTCTCAACCGTTCTAGCACACAACATTTCCTTACATTTTGTCTTGTAAGTAAAAGAGTGTATTTGTTACAAACGAGTCTCAGTCAAGCGTCACTGCTTTCCAGAGACGATCAGAAAGGAGACTGGCCGATGGAGGGAGCGGCCGCAGCCACAGCGCTGCGCGTCCTGCCCACCGACCTGTGCCCAGAGCGCACTGGGACAGCCATGACGCTGTCTGCGTCTGCAGACGGCATCTTTCCATAAGTAGAAACCAGACCATTAATCTCATTAGCAGTATTTCTAAAAAGGGAAGATAAAAAAGGTAATGGCTAATCAAAAACGGAAATTTGAAAGTGTTTAGAAACTAAGCAGAATCAATAGCTTAGACAGCTTTAGGCCTAGTTTACAAAACCTTTCAGTCCAAAAGTTAACTGGCCTGTTCTGTGTCTCAGCAGCAGCACAATGCTGGAGCACCCAGCGGTCTCAGCACCTCCCGCAGCAGCAGGTGGGGTCCCAGGAGCTCTCGGATCCCTTCTCCAGAGGAGGAGCGGGGAGGAGAGATGAGCCCTGGTCAGCAGGGGAGCGGGGAGGTCAACCCTGGTCAGCGGGGCAGCGGGGAGGTCAGGACTGGTCAGCGGGGGAGCGGGGAGGTCAGCCCTGGTCAGCGGGGGAGCGGGGAGGTCAGGACTGGTCAGCGGGGGAGCGGGGAGGTCAGCCCTGGTCAGCGGGGGAGCGGGGAGGTCAGCCCTGGACAGCGGGGGAGCGGGGAGGTCAGGACTGGTCAGCGGGGGAGCCGGGAGGTCAGGACTGGTCAGCGGGGGAGCGGGGAGGTCAGGACTGGTCAGCGGGGAGCGGGGAGGTCAGGACTGGTCAGCGGGGGAGCGGGGAGGTCAGGACTGGTCAGCGGGGGAGCGGGGAGGTCAGCCCTGGTCAGCGGGGCAGCGGGAGGTCAGGACTGGTCAGAGGGGCAGCGGGGAGGTCAGGACTGGTCAGCGGGGCAGCGGGAGTTCAGGACTGGTCAGCGGGGCAGCGGGGAGGTCAGGACTGGTCAGCGGGGCAGCGGGAGTTCAGGACTGGTCAGCGGGGCAGCGGGAGGTCAGGACTGGTCAGCGGGGGAGCGGGGAGATCAGGACTGGTCAGCGGGGGAGCGGGGAGTTCAGGACTGGTCAGCGGGGCAGCGGGGAGGTCAGGACTGGTCAGCGGGGCAGCGGGAGTTCAGGACTGGTCAGCGGGGCAGCGGGAGGTCAGGACTGGTCAGCGGGGGAGCGGGGAGGTCAGGACTGGTCAGCGGGGGAGCGGGGAGGTCAGGACTGGTCAGCGGGGCAGCGGGAGGTCAGGACTGGTCAGCGGGGCAGCGGGAGGTCAGGACTGGTCAGCGGGAGGTCAGGACTGGTCAGCGGGGCAGCGGGGAGTTCAGGACTGGTCAGCGGGGCAGCGGGGAGGTCAGGACTGGTCAGCGGGGCAGCGGGAGGTCAGGACTGGTCAGCGGGGCAGCGGGAGGTCAGGACTGGTCAGCGGGGCAGCGGGGAGGTCAGGACTGGTCAGCGGGGCAGCGGGGAGTTCAGGACTGGTCAGCGGGGCAGCGGGAGGTCAGGACTGGTCAGCGGGGGAGCGGGGAGGTCAACCCTGGTCAGCGGGGGAGCGGGGAGGTCAGGACTGGTCAGAGGGGCAGCGGGAGGTCAGACTGGTCAGCGGGGCCGCGGGAGGTCAGGACTGGTCAGCGGGGCAGCGGGAGGTCAGGACTGGTCAGCGGGGCAGCGGGGAGGTCAGGACTGGTCAGCGGGGCAGCGGGGAGGTCAGGACTGGTCAGCGGGGCAGCGGGGAGGTCAGGACTGGTCAGCGGGGCAGCGGGAGGTCAGGACTGGTCAGCGGGGCAGCGGGGAGGTCAGCCCTGGTCAGCGGGGCAGCGGGGAGGTCAGGACTGGTCAGCGGGGCAGCGGGAGGTCAGGACTGGTCAGCGGGGCAGCGGGGAGGTCAGCCCTGGACAGCGGGGCAGCGGGGAGGTCAGGACTGGTCAGCGGGGCAGCGGGGAGGTCAGCCCTGGTCAGCGGGGCAGCAGAGTTGATCCACAGAACGGGCAGCAGCAGCCTGAGTGTCCACAGCTCCAGTTTTCATTAAAATGTGCAATTATACGATCTCAGAATGTCGCACTTTGTTTTTAAGGAAAAGATTTTTATTTAACCCTCGGCTCACTGTCGCACTACTCTGCTTGGTGGCCCTGGCAGCCAGTGGCCAGACAGAAGAGACACCAGAGCAGAGGGCTGCACTCACCTCCCCACAGGCGGGCCCCTTCTCTTTCTGCTGACAACGTCTGATCACTTCTAACAACAAGGGTCCCCCCACAGTGCCTTCTGCTTCAATAATACCTAGGTCCCGGGCTAAATTCTCTCGACCTTCAAGACCTTGAAACTACGAGAGAAAGAAGACGGAAAAGTAAACTATTAGTGTACAAATATATAACAAAACTACTTTCAGAGTTTAAAGAAAAATATTGTCAGAACTTAAAGACATCTCTAAACTCAGAGACCATTTATCTAATGAAGAAAATGTCCATTTTTAAAAATTACACATACATACATACATATTTGCAGGGGGTAGAGGTGGGCTGGATGTGGCCGTGGGAGCCACCGTTCCCCGGCCCGAGGCTCCCTCCCAAATGCACACACACTGAATGGAACAGTGGACTCACACCCACACGGTTTAATGAGAGTTTTCCTTTTCACGGGAAGCACAGAGTTGTTCATGTGTGTGACGACATCACATAAAATACAATGTCACAACATGAGCAAATTTCTATTTGGAATTTTGATAGGAGAAATGCAAGAGGCAGGTATTTTTAAATTTTATATTTCTTTTACCAGTCTATATTCAAAGCCCACATTAACAGGTATGGTCTAACATCGTAACAAATTAACTTGACAACAACACTCCTTTCTAGATAAATAAAGCAGGGACCCTGGAGCCAGCTGACAGCTCAGATGGTGTTGAAGACAAACAGGTAACCACAAACACCACCTTTATGCAAGACAGACAGACAGCACAAGGTGTCGGTGCAGTTAACTTTCAGCTTATAATGAATTCATTTGATCAAAGCTTCAAAGGTGATGTAAAAATAATTCTTACTGTGCTAGTTTCAGGTTGAAAAACGGCCAAGGTGAAGTCAAGGTTAAAGAACTGAAGAAATTCTGCCACCAGACTGGCCACCAGCCGACCTGCAAGGAGCAAAGGAGAGGTGGTGAGCAGGCCGCGAGCTCGCAGCCTGCCCGCGACACGCAGCAGGGAGACCACACCCACACGCACGGGGAGCGTTCGGAACTGTTCCGGTATAAATTCGTCTTTGGCTAGTACAATGAAGTAACGGAAAGTTCAGTCTTCCCATTGTTTCATTAGGATCCAAAGTCTGAAAGTAACCATCAGTGAGACACTGTGACAGCTCACAAATGGATTAGATTTCTGCATCTTACAGTCAAATTAGTTGTATCCAACAACTTCCCATGACCAATAACATTTGAAGGAACTTAACAGTTGCCTAATAAAATCTGATTTTTAAATAAAGACTTATAAGAATCACAGACTTCAAAAAATAATCTGAAATTCATGATTTCTTCCAAATGGAGTCATGATTTGAAAATTTAAAGATAGGCAAAATAAACAAGAACAAACTGAACATCTTACCATCTTTCGTATTTAAAAACTTTTTCAGGCTCTCATTGACTAAAGGAGTTTTGTTCTGTTAAAAAAATGAAATACTGTGTTATGTGTTTATCATAAGAACAACTACAAAACGTGGACACTTTTTTGGCAAAGAAGTAAGTAAAATATTGTCGCCCATAAAATTATGGTTAACCCCATTCCTCAACTATTGATTACTAAAAGAACTGTTTGTGACCTCTCAGTCCACGGGACAACGCTCAGTCCTGAGCCACACCGGCTGCTCGAAGCGTAAGCAGACCACGTGATTGCAGGTCAGCGGCAGCCTCACACGGCAGATGAGACACGGTACACCGCTGCAGAAAGCAGTCTGGGAACAGTTTAAGTTACAGATGCCCCACCATGTGATCTGCCCTCCTGGGTATTTACTCAAGAGTAAAGAAAGTGCAGACCCAAAGCAACAAACGTACATGAATGCTCACAGCAGCCTTATTTATGAGAGTTGAAAACTGGAAACAACCCAAATGTCTATCAACAGGTGACTACCTAAGCAGACTGCCTACATTCACACAGTGGACTACTACACAGGAGCCAGAGTCACCTACTAACACAAACGACCGTATGAATGGATCTCAAGTTCATGACACTGAATGAACATAACCAGACCAAAAACTAAGAGTGTGCACTGTACAATTCCAATTGTCTAGCTGGGTCGCTCAGGGTGGGGTTGGGGGTATTAAAAAGGGGTGTGAAGGGGCTTGAGGAAACTTTGTTTAAATCCTCACCCAAGGACACGTTTTTTAACTGATTTTAGAGAGGAAGGGAGAGACAGAAACATCACTGTGAGAGAGAAATATCGATCAGCTGCCTCCCATATGTGCCCTGACCAGGGACTGAACCTGTACCCTAGGTATGTGCCCTGACCGGGAATCACACACACAACCTTTTGGTGTACAGGACGATGCTCCAACTGACTGAGCCACCTGGCCAGGGCACTTGAGGAAACTTTTTTTTTCCTTTATTGATTTTTAGAGAGAGGGTAAGGGAGAGGGAGAGATAGAAACATCGATGAGAGAGAACGTTGACTGGCCACCTCCTGCATGCCCCCCACTGGGGATTTGGCCCACAACCTGGGCATATACCCTGACTGGGAATTGAACCGGCAACCTCTTAGTGCATAGGTCAACGCTCAACCTCTGAGCCACACTGGCTGGGCTTGAGGACACTTTTGAAGGTCATGGATCTCTTCACTATCTTAACTGTTCCATGGACGCATAAATATGTTATAATGGCCCTGGCCAGTTTGGCTCAGCAGTTGGAGCATCAGCCTGTAGATCGAGGGGTAGTGGGTTCGATTCCCAGTCAAGGGCATGTACCTGGGTTGCAGGTTTGAACCCTGGTCCTGGCCAGGGTCATGCAGGAGACAACCAATTCATATGTCTCTCTCACATCAATGTTTCTCTCTCTCTCACACACATCAGTGTTTCTCTCTCTCTCTCTCTGTCCCCCTCCTTCCCTCCCCCTACCACTCTCTGTTTATTTAAAAAAAAAGTTATAATGAATCAAATCACACATTTTAAGTATGAATTTACCATAGGTCAATTATACCTCAATCGAGTTTGAGAAAACTCAAAAAAGACAAGGAGGGTAAAGGTCTCAAAGGCCCTCAAGCAGGCTGGCCTAGGAAATGTGAAGGCATTGAGTCAACTGCAGGAGTTAAAGAAAACAGGGGCAGGAGCCAAGTGTCTGCAAACAGCCCGCCTGGGAGCAGCGTGGAGACTGGCTTCGGGAAGACGTGAGGGGCAGCAGGGAGGGGCAGCCACCTGGAAAACAGAACAAGCTGGGCACGGGCAGCCGAGAGCCCCTCCGACTCTCAGGGCTCTGGCCTGGCTGGTGCAGAGCCGAGACCAGGGAGCAGGCAGCGTGAGACGCAGGAGGCAGCACAGGTCGGAGACGCGGGCTGAAGCTGCCGGGGTGGTTACGGTCATCGGGGAGAGGGCACAGAAGGACAACCATGGGCACTGCACCGAGGATCTCAATGAGGTGAACAGGAAGAATTTCATGCTGAAGAAACCAAGGAGAGATCAAGAGAAAACAGAACAGAAAAAATTCCTAAAAGTTTTGGATTTTCAGGAAGAAAAGCAGAATTAATAAGCATGTCAAGGGCCACAAAGAATCCAGGGACCACGTTTCCATGTCCAGAGACAAGCCGAAAGCAAGGGTGAGGCAGAGATACATCGAGTCAGGGAGGTGCTGGGCACCTCGAAACAAACCCAGAGGCCGGTGCTCAGCCCGGCAGAGCCTCCTCTGCTAACGGAGGAAGAAGGCACAGATGTGCACAGACACAGGAGAGCTTTGGCTGGGGGAGGACACAAATGAGGACCTGATGTTTCCGTGTTCCCCCAGAGCGGTCCCAACCACTCAGCGACATCAGCAATGCCGAGGCTTGGGTGACTCTGCTCTAGAGCCCGCAGCACAAACAAGGGAACTAGTCTGATGAATTAAATGACCATTAAGACTCTTATCCGACCAAGTATGGCTAGAAGGTGAGGCTCAGAAGTATGGAGCATGGGTCCTGACCAGTCCAGACCAGAAGGCAGCCCAGCGGAGGCGGATGGTGGACACACGGAGGAGCCAAGCTGAAGCGCCCCACAGAGGTAGCAGGCCCGCAGGTCTACAGTGGGAGCAGGAGACTGGTCCCTGAGGAGGCCGAAGACGGTGATGCTGGAGCGACTCGTGTGGACAGCCAGTTCCCGCACGTTCACTCGGGATGGTGGTGGGACTTGGGGTAGAGAGAAAACTAAATACACTTAAATGCAGAGAAGTGGCTGGACTTTTGACAGTAAGGACGACTGTGAGACTGAAACACTGTGCCTTCCACAGCTTTGGGAAGGGAGCAAGCTCCACCCCCTCGCGGCTTCACAGTGCACAGCAGCCTATCACTCAAGGGTCCCAGGGACCCTGCAGACACTGCCCAGGAGTCATTTCTTCACTTAACTCCTACCACCTGCTTCAGATCCCCCCCAGAGAGCGCTCTGTGGTCATCAGGACTGAGTACTGGCCTCCGAGGCACTGTGGCGCCTTAACTTTCTTCACACTGCTCCAAAATTCTGACATACTCTACGCACAAAAACAACAATTTGTCCCTCTTCCTGTAACAGAGAAATGTGACCCTTAATAGTTGAAAAGGACCCGGTCTACACACTCCAACAAGTAGTGTATCAGAATGGCTTCTAAGTAATCAGAAGTTCAACAGGATACAGTCCTATTAAAACTTGTAGATTTCATACCTCTACTTTTTCTTGCTCCTCTAGGGCTAAAAACACAGCCGCTCGGAGTTCAGCCTTTAAAATAAAAGGAGAGAGATGGAGCAGGAGCTGCTTCTAGACAATTCTCAGGACAAGTCCCGTAGGCACCATCCGCGCCAGCTGAGCCCAAAGCAAACTAGCAGGACAGTGACACTGTGGGCAGGTGCATTGGATCTGGCAAGGACCCCGACCCCCGACCCCAGCCCGTGCCCCACATGCCCCCGGCGCCCCCCAGCGCCCACCCAGCCCGTGCCCCGCACGCCCCCCAGCCCGTGCCCCCCACGCACCCCGATGCCCTCCAAGCCCGTGCCCCCCAGGCCCCCCCGGCGCCCCCCAGCCCGTGCCCCCCACGCACCCCGATGCCCTCCAAGCCCGTGCCCCCACGCACCCCCGGCGCCCCCCCAGCCCGTGCCCCCCACGCACACCGATGCCCTCCAAGCCCGTGCCCCCCATGACCCCCTGGCGCCCACCCAGGCCGTGCCCCCGCACGCCCCCCGATGCCCTCCAAGCCCGTGCCCCCCGCGCACCCCGATGCCCTCCAAGCCCGTGCCCCCCGCGCACCCCGATGCCCTCCAAGCCCGTGCCCCACACGCACCCCGATGCCCTCCAAGCCCGACACGCACCCCCGGCGCCCCCCCAGCCCGAGCCCCCCACGCACCCCCGGCGCCCATCCCGGCGGAGCCCGTTTCCCGCGATCACTGCGGCTCGTCCCAAGCGTCCGAGGAGCAGGTTCCCCGAAAGCCGCCGCCGGCCGGCAGCCTGCCGCTCACAGCTGCTGGGGACCGGGCCCCGGCCCCGAGGGAGCCCCCGCCCTGAGGTCGCCCGCCCCCGACCCCGCGCGAGGCCCCGACGCGCGGTGCCTTTGTGACGCCCGCCGTCCGCACAGCCCTGCGGCCTGCGAGCTCGCCTGCGCCAGGCCGGGCCGGGCCTCCCGCCCACCTTGATGCGGTTCAGGACCCCGCTGTTCTCCAGCGTCTGCACCAGCAGGTCCCGCAGCTCCGTGTCCTCCTCGGCCACCACCGCGGCCGCCGTCGCCGCCGCCGCCATCTTGCTTCTCCAAGACAACCGCCGAAGCCGCGCCAACGGCCAACGGCCGGAGGTCCCGCAGGGCGCGCGGCGAGACCACGCCCCCGGCGCCGGCGCGCGGCCCGCCCTCACGCCGGGGGCGGGGCCTCGGGGCGCAGGTGAACGCGAGGGGCGGGCCTCGGGTTGTGGGTGGGCGCGGGGGCGGGGCCTCCGGGTGACGCTAGGGGCGGGGCCGGGGCGGGGCGAAAGGGCACGCCTTCTGCACCAAGGCGTCAATCCAGTGCCTGCAGGAATCTCCGGCCTGGGTTTGGGTGAAGAAGGAAACTGTCGGTGCAAACAGCTCGGCACTGCGAGCACGCCCGTGAGGCTGCCGGGGTCAGGCCCCTCCTCAGCTCGGCAGCTCGGCTCTGCTCCCAGACGCTGGTGGTTCAGGTCCCGGGACACACGATCCGGTGGACACTGTGCTCCCCCAGCCAGCCGGCCCCTGGGTGGTCAGAGCGGCGCAGCTCTGATCGGAAAGCCTCGGTCCTGGGTCCGAACTAGGGCTGCAGGAAACCTGTCGGCCAGGCCGCCCAGAGCAGGAGCGGAGCGCAAGCTGGCTGGGGCGTGCACAGGCTGCTCGGGCGTGCACTTGGAGTGAGAGGCCCCTGTGCAGAAAGGGCTGGTTTTTGTTTTGTTTTATTGAGCCCAGTTAGCCACCAGGTGCCCTTCTTAGTAGGTGTCTTCTTTGTTTAACCTTTTAGAGTTGGCTGATCGGTTTATTCCAATGACAAGATGAGGTTTCTGGCCCCGTCTGGTTTGCTCAGCAGTCGGCCTGCGGATCAAAGAGTAGCGGGTTGGATTCTGGTCAAGGGCATGTACCTCGGTTGTAGTCGGTGTCCGAGAGCCTGGGAACTGGCACCAGGCAAACTGTTCAGCCTTTACCTCGCTTACCCAACCTAGACTCCCACCCTGTTTCAGGAACTGTTTGCCCTGAACTCATAGATCAACTCCTGTCCCATTCTCCTGTCCTAGTCCAGGAACTGTTTGCTCCGGGACAATAGACTCACATTCCAGGGGCCCCCATGCGTAGCCCCTCAGGACCTAACCCTAACAACAAGTTCCCGCTGCCACAGGTGCAGATATAAAAATCACAAACCCCAGCATCGGGCGCGGCTTCTCAGACTCGACTCCCGGAGTCTGTGAACCCGCCCGGAGTGTACCCAATAAAACCTGATTTCTGCTTATTTGGCTATTTGGCTCTTCAGTTTCTTCCCACCTCCCACCGGCGGCGCCTGGCTACCTTACAGTCGGGTCCTGGTCCTCACCCAGGTCGGGTCGTGCGGGAAGCAACCAGTCACGTATCTGTGTCTCTCTCTCTGTCTCTCTCTCTGTCTCTCTCTCACCCCCTCCCACTCTATCTGAAGATGAATGGAAAATATTCTCAGTGAAGATTTTAAAAAAAGGATTAACCCAACAGTGTAGCTCAGTGGTTGAGCATCACCAAGAGGTTGCTGGTTCTATTCCTGGTCAGGACACATGCCCAGGTTGTGGGCTCGATCCCCAGTGGGGGGCATGCAGGAGGCACCAATCGATGTTCTCTGTCATCGGTGTTCCTATCTCTCTCTCCCTCTCCCTTCCTCTCTAAAATCAATAAAGAAAAAAATTATTTTTTTTAAAGATTAGGTTTCCAGCACACATTCTCCACAAATTTAATAAGTTCTTTTCAACATTAAGGTTTCCAGGGAAGTATATTTAAAGCATGTTTGTAATGTACAAGACAGCAGAAAATATATTCTTTATAATTATTTGAACTTATGATAAAAATGTTTAGATGTTAACTTACAAACGCATTCACAGGTTTTCAGAACTAGTTTAGGAGCGCGAGAGCAATCCCTAGAAGCCCACTGCCTCCCGCAGAGCCAAACAGCATCATGGTCGGGTTGGCGCCTTAAACTGGGCCATTGGGAGGTGTTGGGACATTTGAAGCCAGAAGATCTAGAGTTTTGGTTCTCAACTGGGGCGACTTTGCTCCTCAGGTGACATTTGCAATGTCTGGAGACACTTTTGGTTGTCACAATAACGGGGTGCCCCTGGCAGGTAGTGGAGAGAAGCCAGCAATGCTGATCCACGTCTTAGGGTGCACAGGACAGCCCCCACCTCCGCCCAATGCACAAAATAGAGCTTAGATTAGGAACTAGAGGGTTAGACGGAGGGGTCATTTCCAGAAAAAGATAAAACATGAGTTGTGCCTTGATGAAGTTAGTATAGGATTTATTTCTCTTTTTATTGGCATGTAATTGACTTATAACACTTTATTAGTTTCAGGAGTACAACATGATTTGGTATTTGTATATACTATACAGTTTACTCTTTTTTTTTTTTTTTATCCTCACCCGAGGATATTTTTCCATTTTTTGTACAAATAGAGTGGGAGGGAGAGAGAGGAAGGGAGAGAGAGAGAGAAACATCGACGTGAAGGGACACATCGAGTGGCTGCCACCCGCACGACCAACCAGGGCCGGGGACAAACCGCAACCAAAGTACGTGCCCTTAGCGGGAACCGAACCCGGGTCTCTCCGGACCGCAGGCCGACGCTCTAACCGCCGAGCCAAACTGGCCAGGGCTACAGTTTACTCTTAAACAACATGGGGGTTAGCGGTGCCGACCCCCCCATGCAGTCGAAAATTTGCATGTGTATAACTATCGACTCCCCCCAAACTGAATTAATAGCTTACTATTGACCGGAAGTCTTACTGATAACATAAATGGTTGATTAACACATATTTTTGTATGTTTGTGTATTATATACTGTATTTTCATAGTAAAGCTAGGGAAAAGAAAATTATAAGGGCCCTGGCTGGTTTGCTCAGTGGTTAGAGTGTTGGCCTGCGGTCTGGAGAGACCCGAGTCCAGTTCCTGCTAAGGGCACGTACCTCAGTGGCAGTTTGTCCTCGGCCCTGGTTGGGTCATGTGGGTGGCAACCACTCGATGTGTCCCTTTCACGTCGATGTTTCTCTCTCTCTCCCTCTCACTCTATCTGAACAAAGTATCGAAAAATGTCCTCGGGTGAGGATAAAAAAAAGAAAGAAAGAAAATCATAAGGCCTGGCTGGTGTGGCTCACTGGTTGAACGTTGACCCATGCACAAGAAGTCGCTGGTTTGATTCCCAGTCAGGGCACAAGCTCAGGTTGTGGGCCCATCCTCAGTGGGAAGCATGCAGGAGGTGGCCAATCAAAGTTCTCTCACATGCATATTTCCATCTCTCTCTCCCTTCCTCTCTCTCTAAAATCAATAAAGAAAATATATTTAAAAGAAAGTCATAGGAAAATAAAATACATTTACAGTATTTATTGGAAAACCCTTTATATAGTGGACCCGTGCAGTTCAGTTCATGTTGCTCAAGGGTTGAGTGTGTTGTGAAAAGATCGAAACACCTCAAGTGAACACTCATCCCCCCACATCTTTACACAAGTCTTCCCTGGGATGAGAACTTTTAAGATCTACTCCCCTAGCATCTTCCAAACTCGCGATCCAGTGTTGAGAACACCTGTCTCCAGCCTCCACGGCTCGAACGGATCACACCCAGGTGCAGATGGAGCGGCAGCTCCCAGTAGGACTGAAGTAGACCTCACACGTCAGCGGGAACGGTGAGAGACTGCTCGGGAACACGCGTGACTTCTGCTATTAGCCCACATGTCTGGCCCGTGGCCGCCCTTACGTCTGGGCACTTCCAGGCTCCAGTTCTTCTGCTGGTCTAGCAGGATGCGCCTTCTTTCCTTCCCCAAGACCCTCGGTCAGCTTTAGTGTCCCCTACCCCGTCTGATGTTGTATTAGAAGACAGGCACAGCAGGTTAATGTTAGTGATGAGCCCAGTGACCAACCACAACACAGACTTCTGAGGATAATGATGACAGCCAGCCTGTGATAAAACCTTGTGTACGCTAGTTAAGACAAGCTGAGTCATCACCTTGATCTGGTCCAGGTAAACTATTCTGTGGTTTAATTAGCTTCCCAGGAGAAAACCAGCCCAAGGGCAAAGGTAAATTACTGTAATGACTAGCTGTATTTTGAAGAAGGAGCATACAGCATTTAGGCTAAGTAGAGTCCCCTTTTAATCTGTAGCCAATTAAATGCTTGAAAAGAGATTAAAGGGAGATGCAAAGATCTATGAAAGTAAGACAAAATAAGGAAGCGCTTTCATCCTAAATTTATTCATAGATGTCAGTATGAACTCATGATGGATTTTCCATAAAACAAACAAAAACCAAGCAAATGAAACGTATTTCCTGGCTTTGACGAAGCCTCGCAGCAGTGGCTGACCCTGCTGTAAGAACGAGGCGGAACGAGGCGGTGCAGGGTCTCCAGAAGGGCAGGCTCATTGGGAATCAGCCTGCCGGGCTACCTCTAAGGAGAGAGTAGCAACCGGCTTGTACAGACTAGGGATTTTGAAACTCAGGGCTGGGTGGTGGTCGTTCAGCTGAGGAGACGTGGTCGTCTTTGATTGGTTGGGCCTGGGGTCTCCCGAGTTCTTGATTGATCGAGGGCTGGGCTCTCCTGAAACTTGTTTTTCTTGTGGAGCGACGTTTGCAGTTTGGGGTGGGTTAGGGTGGTTCCATCATTCCGTTCCTCCTGGCTGGAGTGATGGGTTTTGGTTTTCTGGAATGAGAGGCTTAGGGCAAGGTTAAAGGATAAGAGCGATGGGTTTTGGTTTTCTGGAATGAGAGGCTTAGGGCAGTATATGGAAGTTAAGAGCTAACACCTGCTGCACTCAGCACCAGGGCTACGGTCTCTGAACACAGCTCCACTAAGAGGAGCCTGGTTCCGTGGACAGAACAAGGCAGGAGTAGCACCGTGTACGTTGACTGATGTGGAGTTCCAGGCAGACACGGGATAATAGAAAAAGGGATTGTTTTCATTATAAAAGGAAAATGTTATAAAGATACCCTGGCCCTGGCCAGTTTGGCTCAGCGGTTAGAGCGTCGGCCTGCAGTCCGGAGAGACCCGGGTTCGGTTCCCGCTAGGGGCACGTACTTCAGTTGCAGTTT